GATTTTAGCGGGTGGAGGTTGGTGGGCAGAGGCAAAGCTTTACCAACCAGCCGACTGGGTGCCAGCAGGAATCAATGCAAGGTTCGGTCATCTGAATAGAGGGAAATCTTGTGTGAATGCATAGTGGTCGGTGTGCATGGAGATAAAATGGTAGGTATAAGAGAAGAGCGAATCCTCCCTGAACTAAAATGAAGATGCTGTTGACAATAGCATATATTCACCTGTGGACCGACTAATGCTATCACTTACAGTCACTTTGTTTGGCAAATCACAGGGCATATTGTCTAGCTGATGGTCACTGGACTGCATGATAATTGGAAATTCAATTCAACTGTGATTTTTCCGCTACCATTGAAAGTACTTCATTCTGGCAGAAATCTGATTTAACAATTGCACTGTTGTGTTCATTTGGACAACAAAAATTGCGCATCATGATTCATGGTACAATACAAATCCCACAATAGCTTTAATATCCATTATTTGATTGTCTCAAAACAATCAGGAGGGAAAACATCATTATTTAGAATAAATCAGATTTCATCAAATGGGAGTGGGGCAGGCTCCCTGGAGCTCTTGTAAAAATTACCTCCATATTTTTCATCAGGAAAAACTCAGATGAAAACATACGTTGGGATACACTGGTATTTTTATCTTCATCCCTGAAGAGTATGTCCCTCAAACCCTGTATAGAACTCGCATTACTTTATCCTTCATTCATATACCCCCCGTAAGGCCGAATAGTCAGGGAGCTTTGCTTTAAAGCAAAGTGCCTCTCATACATGAAGGTCTACCGGGACCAATCCTCCCCTTGTTTCATTACCTCCAGGAGGCAGAGCTCTTTCTGTCAGGCACCATGACAACATGGCATCGCTCTTTTCCCTCCAGCCTTTGTAGGGAGGGTGTCGGGCCACAAGAGACAAAGTGCACTGCCTTCACAAGCACCCAGCCAATTTAAGGTTATGCGAATCAGAGGGTTTAACATGTCAAAAACCAACTAATCAATCTGAGAGGCGTAGTCACATTTTGAAGTCAACCCCAAAAACTCTGCTCTGACATCCCGTGGTGTATTTGTTCAAACAACTGTGGTTCACTGTAAAGATTTCTATTAATGAGTTCAATTGTACATCTGCAGAATAATGTTTGATTGACATGTTTACTCTAAAAGCTGGGGATACCTAATTACTGCATTTTTTAGCTACATATTTTTACCAAAGAATTAAGGGAATAATTAGATAGAGCTAAAGTAGTGAAGAAATACGACGCAAAGCCACAGAAAGAACATGCAGCGGGAGAATTGAGGGTTAATTCAAAGCCAAAACAAACAGCCCTGGCAATCACCGTGACTTACCTAATCTTGTTTTGTATCCTCTAAGTACTAATTAAGTTGGATCAACATAGCAATTGATTGAAAATGACACTTCATTCACTTCATTATGTGAGACATGAGTGGAAATATTGCTAATGATCACAGGCAACCTCGGTGAAGTGGAATAAAACAGTCAGGCTGAGGGGAAATACAATCCACACGTATCAGACAATCGCAGGCTCTTTCAGTGGCCACAACAGCTTGTCAGGGTGGCTCCCATCCAAACATCCATGACTGCTGGATGAAAATAGACAGTAGGAGGTCTGTCTGTACAAAGCACAGAGCTCAGAGTAAGTTATAAATGTGAAAAATCACTGAGATGTAGTGCTGTAATAGCTATTATTCATTTGTGGAGGCACACTACCATATCATCTAAACGATTTGGGCTGCAGTAGCATGTGCTCTTTAATGCATTTCCCCCCCCCCCAACTATGCACAGGGGAGAACAGCAAGAACATCAATCCTTTATTAGGCATAATTGCTTCATATCAGTCTGGAATGACATGCGAGTTAATTCAGGGACTTGATGAAATCTCATAACACAGTGAAAATCAAAAATCGAGTGTAGAGTACACGGTTATCTCCAGGGCGTTAATCTATATTTTCTTACATCTAATTCCATTATTTCTGTGCTTGGTTTTTCTTTTTTGTTTTTCATTCTACACACTGTTAGAGGGGATCAAGCTTAATGCTTCTGCAAATGCACATTAAGGTAGTCCAACTGTTGTGCTGTAATTAAACTAGAACAATAAATCAAACTAGAGTGCAATCAAAAGCAAACTACTGCACATACTGGCCAAAAACATAAAACTCCCGATAAAGGAAGCCAGAGAAACTAACAGAGAAGATGTGAAAACCTGCAGGGATATAAAAAGGGGAAAATGATGCATAGCCCTGTTCCTGTGGGAGTGTTATGGTGAGTATGATATCATCCCTCTTATGAAAAATGCCTCCATGCGCGCACACACGCACACACACACACAGAGACAGACATATACACACACAACAGCATGCCTTAAATAACTTTTAATCAAATTTCAGGGTGCGGGTTTCGAGGCTACCGCATTGAGGTTCATAACCAAAGCACACAGGAAGGTGACACATCATGGGATGATAAGAGCTCTCATTGCACTGTGTGCCTCATGTCTCAACGCATTGGACTGCAAGTCTGTGAGACCGTGTAAAATATAAGGGCTTAGCAATCTCCCTGATCATGAGAGCAGGATATATTTGGATGCTGATGAGATTAATATCATTAAGTAATGTAAAAACCTCAAACCATTATGGCATGTATTACCAAACATTTAAAGCACTGTATAAACTTGTTTCTGTTCCCACCGTCATTACAACATGTGCTGTACATTTTAACGTTCACAACTGAAACAAACAACAGAAAAAAATTTAAGTATTTACTTCATAAAATTGCTACTGAATTTTATTTGCTACTGCTCCAGTTTCTGAGACTCATATTGTTCCACATTCTTCAGACAGCTCTGTAGACTGGGATACACAGTGAAGGGTGTGGAAAGTATGTGTGAAACAATGGGTGATATACTCCACTATACATTATGTACTCTATGTGTGTCTCGCTCATAGAGCTTAAGTCTGCCTTGCACTAGTTAGTTACTACTAGCTTCAGGCTAACCCTACTGTGTGCATTTCTTTTACACTCACTTGCTCAGAGCAAATGCCCTTAATAACCATTTAGCTGCTAAGGCACGCTTGTCTGTCCCCCATTCACAGCCTTAGCCACTAATTACCTTTCCAAAGCAATGGACATTTCTGTGTTCCCTCAATGCTTCCCTTTTTCTCAGTACAATCAGCCAGCTGCCTTCACTGGTTGGAATTAGTGCTCTGCACAGGCCTGAAATGAATGTCCAAAAGTCAACCCATGTCAGCCGGTTCCCTAACCCAGTGATTGTTAATTTTTTATCCACCCTCGCTGTACAGACATTTAAAAAAAGAGGGAGAATGATGCATAGCCCTCGAGATCCTATCTTCTCTCTAATGACCAGTCTGCTTCTTGCTAAGCACATGCATGCAGCTCTGCACACACGCTGCACACATAACAATCTGTCAAATAAAAGACATACGGCCCTAAAATTTAATTGTCCAGATCAAGCCTGATGTGTAAATGCGCGCACACATACATACATACATACATGTTTTTGCAGTGTCAAAAGACAAAATATTCCATCAGTATAATTATTTTCAGAGCTGTGCAGAGGGGCCAAGTTAGTTATTTGCTAGGTGATGTTTTTGGACCTTGGAACCTGTAAATATAAATTCTACTGACTGCTCTCCCCTTCCTGAGCTCTTCCAATGAGGTGCCCTCGATCAAAGCATATAACCCCTATTTCCCACCAGAGCTGCTCAATGGCCAACAGAGGGCTGTTTTTGCAGTAAGGTGTGAATGTGTATGACTGAATGTGAAGCCGTGCTCTGAAAGAACATTAATGTGTGCCTATCAGAACTATTCACCAAAAAAAAAAAACCACACCTTCAAGTCTGCATTCACATGCCTAAAAATGTAAAATGAAAAATAAATAAATAAATAAATAACAGCATCATACTATTAAACATAAATAGGAATAAATAACACAGAAGTTGCATCTTTCTCTCCAATTTAATTTTTTCATGAGAAACCTTTATGGTAACTAAAATATTTAATTTTATAAGTGGTTGGATACGGAACTAGTCTACTGTATAAATACTGCAAAATACTCCATGTCGCATCAATTTGCCACTTTGGCTGGGAAAACACACCCCAGCTTTAGCGCCCAAATACACATATGCAAACACATAATACTCTGATAATATTTACCAGCACAAAAATGACATAATGAATCATCCATTAGAGAGTACATCTGATTGTTCACTCTGGGCTGCAATATCCGTCCATTTTTAGATTAGAGGAGGAGGAAAGCCTAAATTCCGAGAAGCATTTAAAGCATACATTATCAATTATAGAGGCAGGAATTAAAAAAACAACTGAGCTTGATTTTCACAGTTAGGCCTATTGTATTTCTGACACAATATACAAATGGAGGTCTGCTGAAAACAGCTGCCAACTGCATGACTAAATGTGGCATATTAAAGGTTGTAATCGTCCTTTATGCCATGTGTTTGACTTTCGCATTTGCTTGTTGAAGCGGAGTAGGGTTCACTAACTAATTTGTTTTCATTAAATTACACACACACACACACACACACACACACACACACACAAACTGATCCTCATGCATTTCAATCCACACAATTTAAATGCCTGAACAAAACCTGACAATAAATAAATACAATTTAATCGAGCCGACTCTTCATATGCAGTTAATCACAGTTGGCTACAACATAATCTGAACATCAACTCACTTTGCCATATGTCAGTGTTTTCTTCTCTCCGGTGCATTAGTTTAATTAGAATTATTAAGAGCAATAAAAACATACAGTACAGGTATGAACTATATGAATCCTAACTGCCTAATTCAGCCCTTCTGGCTACGGCAGTGAAGAGAGAAAAGGGGTTAATGGTAGACAAAAAAAGGGAAAATGATAGGCAAGATAGAGCACCGCTGGGCAAGTAAATGCATTTCCCTTTCTACCCAGGGCTTCGGTCGGCACACTAATGAGAGCTCACCTGAATAGGACCAGTAGGGGTCACCAGCTGCCCTCCTCTCCCTCATTACGACTGTGCTCCCATGGTACCCGTCTCCAGCGTGGAGGTGAGGGTGGCCACCCGATGCAACTGCGGGAGGTCAGAGTCAGAGGTAAGAAAATACACGGGGGAAGAAAAGTGTCATTCACAACCTGAAAAAAAAATTGTGCGGAAACTTATTCAGCAATCTATTAAAAGTATGAGAAAATGTCTATGGCTGATGTCAAAAGTTGTCAACATAGCGAGAGATTTCTAAAGAAAAATAAATAATATAAATAAATTCTTGAATGTAAAGTCCAGTCTCCCTTCGAATTCAGTTTTTGTCAGTTCAGTTTTGTATTTTGCCAGTGCAGAGAGAAGTGTGGCCTTAATGCAGCTTAGCGAAATGTGGGGTGATGGATGGGTGTGCAGCCTGGTGGTGGGCAATAACTCAGAATTATCTTTAATCAACCAGCAGCAGTATCATGATGATGTGAACTTAATGTTATCAGTTTACACATTTTTGTGGCCAAAGTGAAAAATTTAATTATAATATACATATATTATTTATTAAATTTAAAGTTTATCATAAAACTACCTAATTGAGTTCCTTAAGGTCCTAAAGGTGTTTTACATGTTTTTGGTGTAATGCACAACAGTGATCATCATTTGCATGTTTCTTTTACAATTTAGCAAGTTAATTTGCCTTGTTGTAATATATATTTATTATGGAAAAATACTCATATTTTGATACTGATTTGAACCATATCACCTGTTACCATATCATCCCAGAGCTTTCCCTTAGCTCTTAACCATACTGTAATTGTCATGTGAAAAACACAGAATAAAAAAAAAAAAAAAAACATACTGCCATGGAAATCATCCGAGATCAATGTTCTGTTTTGCAAATGGGTTGTAAATACTTACACAAATATAATTTAAAAATGCTCAAAATTGTAATTTACATTGTAATTACAGCTAAAAGTACCTTTATACTTCAGTTTAATAACAACATTCAGTCAAAGTGCCTCAAATCGTCTCCCAAATTGCAGCTATTACACGAGGGACTGTAGCTCCCCCCCCACCCCCACCCCCCCGATGACAGCAACTGAAACGCACTTTAACAAGGAGAACCTCTACCATTTATCTTCAGGTCTGTCTACCTATTCTGAAAAATTTCGGCTTCCTGAACTCCCTAGCCTTACAAGCTGCACCAGTGAAAACAGAAGCAGCAGCAACTGTGGTGACTACTGCATGTGTGTTTTAGGCCCAGGCACCATCATTTGACACAATGCCTTAATGGGTAGTAATGATCAGCACCATCAGGGATCTCCTCCTATGATGCTTTTTGCTCTCTTACAGCTCCAATCAATCATATTCTTCACAGCAGCAGCTGGGCTGGGAAGGAAAAATAAATAAGTAGGCTGGATTTAATAATATATATAAATGGATATAATAATGCCACAACAGCTTCCCTGCTGTGGAAACTTCATTTAGTAAAATACAGACAGCCTATGGGCACAGTCTCTTTAGCTTCTTGGGGCAAATGGCCTGAAAGAAATCAAACATTGTCAACAGAATTAGAGCGAAGGCTAGAGGCACAAATTGTCCTTAAGCATACACACTCCCCAGAGCACGTATAGTCCCAGACTTGCAATAATCAAACTCATTGGGGAGAATGTGCTCCACAACGGATGCAGCCTGTGCCAGTGGAAAATGTCTAGCTGAAGCCATTGTCAGTGTTTTGTGTTGCTTTAAGCAGTCAAAACCCACTGTGGCATTCAAAACCTGGGGATGTATTGGCTAATACTGGTTCCCGGTTGCTTGAAGGATTGTTAGCATCCTTCTAACAATTGGGTACCCAGATTGTTTGTATAAAAAGGGAATGGCAGGAAAAACAAAGATGACAATCTGCCGTACTCAAAATGGAGGCCGAAATCACGGTTTCCTTGCAGAGGTACTGTTTCTCAATGCATTTAGATAATCCATGTTTTATCAGTTTTGTTGTACAAGTGGTTACACATTGTATGTACTCAATACTGTGCGCGTCGTTCTAAAACTCTTCACACAGTTGCCACGCACCTTCACACATCGGTTAATACCGCATCCAAAAAGCACTAAAGTCTAGTCTATTCAGGAGGGTCTCAGCATAAGTTCATTCTAACACTAGCAAAAAGAGCTCTACCAGCAACACGCCGACCTAAAAACACTAACAACACGTTGAAGTACATAAACCTACAAGAATGTCATAATAAAAATATTTATATACTACACATAAGATTCAATCGATACAGAATATGCTTGTTTTATAGATTTTCCTACAACATTAATACCAGTTTTAAAATCCCTATTTACAGTGTACATGTGACACGTTTCCTTTTTTAGATTGTATAAGCACTACATTATGCTACATCATGACAATGTAACCATGACAACTACTGTACATCACACTTGTTAAGAGTCTCATGAAGTTGAAGGTAACTTTAGAACAACAGCAGGGCTCACTGAAGCTACATTTTAGAGAGATGGAGTTGGTGTGATCAGCATCTGCACACACGCACACACACACACACACACACACACACCTCCAGCCACTTAAGACAAGCTCAGCTCTTACTAATAGTTGCATCATTACCGGGGATTAATTAAACTAAGCACTACATCAAGCCAAGTCGCTCCTTTCACTTAAAGTCAGTGCATAGCTGTCTCCAAAAATGGGCTCTGCTATGGTAAGAGCCACTTACACGCCGTTTTCTTAAGTCAAACTCGTTGCTTGGAGGGAAGCCACAGAGGCTAAATGGGTGAAGTCATAAATGGCTGCTTTGTTATTATCAGATGTACTGTATCAATTCACCAAGGGGAAACACAGGTTAACATAAAGTGTGAAATGGCGAGCAAGGGAGCCTCTGTGGCAGAGACTTGGAGCATATTTGAAGGCAGGTTGGGCTACACCGTCTTTGATCAGAGAGCATAGGAGACAGCACCATGTCAACAGTTTACACTCATCCATGTCAGCCGTCCCCTGTGGGCAAAGGATTAAAGCCACAGCATCTATGATAGAGCAGAGCAGACAACACAGTCAGTGTTGGGCCTGAAGGAGACTGAGGCTGAGCCGCGCTGCACCCAAACGACGCTCATAAATCCTAAATTAAAACACAAGTGAATAGCAATTATGTAGGTTAACCGGTAATTTGAATGACATGTTCTATACAGAGAGTTTGGCCTAAAAGGTATTTTTACTTTGTCATACATAGTGAAACTTTGCCTTATTTTTTACATCCAAGTATGTTTTTAGGAAGTGCAGAGAAAATAAAAAGGCTTCAAAAACACCTACAGAACAACACCTTGTACGATGCCTAGGCATAAAAAAAATCATTTTCCTTTTTTCATTGCCCAGAGGGCAGTTAAATCATCTACACCTGCTATTTGTTCCATAATATCACACTCAACAACAAGCCAAGAACCCCTGAGAGCCATTGAAAAACAGCAGCCTAACAACATCCACGGGACCGTTCAACTTGCACTCGTCATTGGGGGCTGGAGTTGAAATATCAATCTCATCTACAATGTCAGCATCAGGTACGTGAGGGACAGCCAGGCTGACACGTCCATGTCACCGGAAGGATTATTAGGGGACGGATTAAGGTATCAAAATGCATCCCGAGTAACAATGTCCATGTAATGTGGGTGAACAAAGAGTGGCAAAGCAATGCCACATGTGCGTGAGGAGGTGAATTATACTACAAGTACAACTCTAAATTATACATTATGCGCTGCTGTTAAAGTACTTAAAGCAATCAACTTTCTCGAGCCTCATGACGTTCTAAGCTCGCAAGTTCTAGGGATGGTAGATTTATCCTTTCTCATTTTTTTTCCTACAGATTGTCTAATATAGTTGACTCCAGATTCATTAACCCACATACAAAAACTGTGAGAACTGCTGTCCTAATTGTGTGGCGCCACTTTTAAAGAAAATGCATGCCAGCATTTCAGTGCAAAATAAACACTTTCCACTAAAATAGTGTGAGTGCTTAGCATATTATCAATACACAGAAACAGCGTCAGATGTGATAAAAATATTATTCCGCTCACAAATGTGATTCATTGCGGCAATAGGTGGCTAATGGCTAATATACACTGTGAAAATAGAACACTAGAAATAAAACATTAGGCCTGTTTTACAGACCAGCTGGGAACTGTAGTTTTTAAGCAAGCCTTACTCTACAACAGGATTAAATGGTGTATTTGTTGAGGACTATTTTTCAGCCGTGAGCGTTACTGAGTAATTAATGAAACAGGATAGTGTATGTGGGATTGACTCAATACAAACTACAGTTACCATGGTAATGGTAATAAAGGAACATGTCACAAAGGAACAATAGTGTGATGTGATGACTGATGTGTTTTTGGACAGTTTTGGACATAAATTGAGATCTATGGCACAGAGGAGGCTTTGGCAACGCAAGACATTACTTGTTAGTAGGATCAATTCATTGTTGGTTTTGATGTGTCCATGGGATTTGTTGACCCCAAGAAAAAGGGCAATGGAATAGTCTTGGTATTCTGCTGTGTTTTATACACAGCGAAACCTCTTCAACCTTTAACCGGGTGTCACACTTAGCAGTGGAACAGCTGAAATCCCTTGTGGCCACACAGCACTGGTGTTACTTTGTGTTGTTAAAAAGCCATTATCAGCGAGAGAAGTTCCGTTTATTTTAACTTAACTATCAGGGGAAAGTCAGCCTCAGCTCACTTGCACTCTTTCCGCAATATATTATGTGTCCTGACACTACTTCGCCAGTCAACCAGGTGCTCAAAAAAAAAGAAGAAAAATCAGTGAAAAATGACTAACTTCCTCAAATAATATTATATCCTTTAATAAATAACGTGTTTCACCACATCACCTTCACATGCCTAATGAGCGTGATGTGCCAAAAGGTAAAGGCTAAAATGAATACTTTTCCAACACGTCAGTCAGTGTTATCTTTCACATTCTCCTCCAGCATCGGCCCGCTTTACAGTCATACAGTTACGTACACAGACACTTTGACAGGAGTTATTGAGGGAGAGGGAAGCATTCATTTTACCTATCCCCACTTACTTAGTTTGTC